CAAAAGAAGGGAAAAAAAAAAAAAGGAATAATGCCTCATTATTTATCTGTTTCCGTGAGAACACAGCACGTTTGCGTATCACATGATCGCCATCAAAAAGACGATAAAATAATAGAAAAAAAGAGCTGAAGGCAACGACCAGTAGGATGCTGTCCTACCGGTCCCCCCCTTTGCACTTTCGGTCTGCCAACTGTGTTTTCTTATCCACTATATATAGAGTCAGACACAGAGCTGCCCGGTAAACCGTAGGCAGAGATATTGGGAATTTTATCTTAGCCATAAATTTATTTTCTCAGGAAGCATCTCGCACTCGTTGGCAACCATCGAAGCACGGATCCGTTGGGCGAGAGTATTGTCACACGGTGCCGTCGGATCGCAATGGCCGGCGGTCGTCTCAACCTGAGACTACCTCCAACGCTCCTAGGAGAAGCGTCCACTGACCAGGTCTCTAAAACCTATACAAATCAATCAATCAATCAATCAATCCATCGATCGTTTCAATCAATCAATCACGCAAGTAATCAAGCAACCAAGCACACACTCAATCAACGAATCAAGCAATCAATCAACCAAGCAAACCAATCAATCAAGCAACCAAGCAATCAACCAAGCAATCAAGCGAGCACGCAACGAAACAAGTAATCAAGCAAGCAAGGAATCGAGTAATCAAGCAAGCAAGCAAGGCAGCAAGCAATCAAGCAAGCAATCAAGCAAGCAATCAAGCAAGCAAGGAATCGAGTAATCAAGCAAGCAAGCAAGCCAGCAAGCAATCAAGCAAGCAATCAAGCAAGCAATCAAGCAAGCAATCAAGCAGGCAATCAAGCAAGCAATCAAGCAAGCAATCAAGCAGGCAATCAAGCAAGCAACCAAGCGGGTAGGCAATGAAGCAAACAATCAAGCGAGCAGGCAGTGAAGCAAGCAATCAAGCGAGCAGGCAAGCAAGCAAAAAATCGGATCCATGAATAAACAAATCAAACAACGAATAAACGGATCGATCTCGATCCATTGAGCACAGAGTAAAAAACAAGCAATCACAAAATAGAGGCGAAGTCGCGATACGTCGAGTCGATTGCAACCGAGACAGCGCTTTGAGCAGTGGACATCAGGTCCATCAGGCCAATCAATCAATACCCATTCGTAGAACATGTACAAATTCTATCCTCTTTCTCAATCCCTACTCCCCCCACTCCCTCCCTCGTTCCTCTCCTCAAACGGCTTCTTTTGCATTCAGTTACCATCTCTATCCCTTACCTCCACTTCAGCCCTCTCTCTCTCTCTCTCTCACACACACACACACACAAAAAAAAAAAAAAAAAAAAAAAAGACACGTGTGCTTGTGTCAAAAATGCTTTGAGACATTACTGGCGCTTCTCGGCCATGGCTCACCCCATCCTCCGCTGGGAGAAGTCTAATAAAACTAAGGTTTGACTGGACAATATGGTTTACGTTTGAGCGATGATTTAGGACATATTCTGGATTCGAGCCACAGTCAAAAAGATATCCAACATAGAGGCAGGAAGAATACATACGATTGCTACCGAATGCGTCCACGTTAGGTTAGCACAGCAGCGGCAGGTCATCTGCAAGCTGGCACCGGCTTCGCATATAATCTCCCACCCCCCCTCCTCTCATCATCAACCAACCGAACGTGCTCTCCCCCCCTCTCTCCAAACTTCCGTTGTC